TATTCGGTATTAGAATTTGTTTCAATTTTTTTTCAATGCGTTATTAATTATATTATGTGCGTGTAGTGCGTTATTAATTTAATCTTAATACACAGTCAGGTCATAAGTATTGTCACACAGTAAAACTTTTCTTTTAGAATGCTGGTCACGAAAAAGTTTATTGAATTCGAATTTCGAATTGTTCATGAAAATAAAAATGTATACTTTTTATAATTTTAATTATTTTTAAATATGGAATGGACGCATAAAGAAGACCGTTTTGCAATTATTGCGTTGCATCGTTGCGGTTACGCGCCAATTCAAATTTTTGACATACTGAAAATTTTGAATATAACCAAAAGATTCATTTATCGTACCATCAAACGATACAATGAAGACTAGTGTAGATGACAGGTCAAGAAGTGGTCGCCCTCGGTCTGTTAGGATTCCAGCAGTGATTAAAGCTGTGAAGGCGCGAATTCAAAGAAATCTCAAACGGAAGCATAAACTGTTGGCCCTTCAGATGGGCTTAAGCAGAACCACGGTGAAAAGGGTGTTAAATGAACCTTGGGGCTTCGGGCATATCGAAGAAAAACAGGACATCGTTTGAATGCTCGTTTAATGGACCTGAGACTGAAGAGATGCCGCGCTTTGTTGAAGCGGTACGCGGGAAAAAAATATCGGGAAATTCTTTTTTCGAATGAAAAATTTTTTTACCGTAGAAGAAGCTACAACAAACAAAATGATAAGGTGTACGCACACAGTAGTGAAGAAGCGAGCAACCGTATTCCGCGTGTCCTACGAGGTTATTTCCCATCCTCGCTCATGGTATGGTTGGGAGTTTCTTATTGGGGCTTAACAGAGGTACATTTTTTTTGGGAAAGGTGTAAAAACGAATGCAGTTGTGTATCAAAATACAGTCCTGACGAACCTTGTGGAACCTGTTTCTCATACCATGTTCAATAACAGGCACTGAGTATTCCAACAAGATTCGGCGTCAGCTCATAGAGCGAAGAGCACACAAGACTGGCTGGCGGCGCATGAAATCGACTTCATCCGGCACGAAGACTGGCCCTCCTCCAGTCCAGATTGGAGTCCGTTAGATTACAAGATATGCCAACACTTGGAGGAAAAGGCGTGCTCAAAGCCTCATCCCAATTTGGAGTCACTCAAGACATCCTTGATTAAGGCGGATATTGACATGGACATCGTTCGTGCTGCGATAGACGACAGGCCGCGCAGATTGAAGGCCTGTATTCAAAATCACGGAGGTCATTTTGAATAAACTTTATTGTCATAAGAATCTATGTTTTGTTAAGTTCATTTTGGTATATAAATGGTTACATAATGAATAAACTTGTTTCAATTATTTTATATTAAACATGTGACGGAATTTATGACCTGACTAGGTATATTTAATTACAATTTTGTATTTTTATTAAAAACTGAAACCAATAAAAAAAACACACACACACACAAAATGCTTTAGCTTTAAGTTTCACAGTTTGTAATTGTACTGTAAAGAGTGAAACCCATACTAATAAATGCGAAAGTGTGTCTGTATGTCTGTTAACTCTTCACGCTTGCCCGTGAACCAATTTGGATGGTATTTGGTACGGAGATAATTGGTAAAAATAAATGCATAGTCGCGGAAATGTAAAAAATTGCACACCGCTGCAAATTGCATCGGACGCCCGACACTGAACAATTAACGTTCAGTGTTGCCACGCGAGACAACGGACTTGTTAAGGTGGTAAAAAATAAGGGGAAAGTTTGTATTGAAAACCAATTTTCCACGCAGACAATGTCGCGGGCGTAGTACAGGGTTTTCCAATAGGAACAAGGTATCTTTGACAACCTATGGTGGATATATTAGATCGTCTATTAGCGCAAGTTTTTGATAGATACATTATTAAAAGTTCGGCATATATTATACCAGTCGCTACATAGTTGAGTAATGCGTTGAAATCATCAAAAAGTATTGTCAAAACGGTAGTCCAATTCATCCAACGTTTCGTGCGTTATGGGAAACTGTGTTCAGAAAGAATCCGGTCGATTAGTGTTTTTTAACCGGAAAGGTTGGGATTGGCGGCACTGAAACCTTATAATCGAAGGCCTATAAGGTTCCAGTGCTCCACGAAAGAAGAGTTTGAGTTTGGCTGACAAGGTTAGGATAGCTGTATCAGCACAAGTTTCTGGCTTATCAGCTGCCATCATAACTGGACTCCATTTAAACTTGATACCAGTGGAGTGGGGTAATTTGCTGCGCCTTGTATAATAAAAGTGTACAGTATTATACAGGGTGTACTTACAAAACAATGGGTCAACTGATCAAATGGGGTATTGTATATCGAAAATACAACGTATTTACAATATAAGTACTTAGGTATACCTCAAATAATATTTACGGATAAAACTAGTTTTAACGGGTTAATGCACGAACTTTATTTATTTATTAACGTTTCGCAGCCTTTTCAGGTCTGCATCGTCAGAATTATGATTTTCTATTTACTTTGTCGAGCTACCTTCGAAAGACTTTTATTGACCGTTCGGATATTTCATTGGAAGATTTTTAAAAATTTATTGTCCATGTATGAATTTATTAGTTAATTTAGTTAATAAAGTACTTTAATTAAATTCTTTTGTGTAATTTTAAGTTTATTTATTTGACCGTTAAAATTAGTTTTATTTAATGAGTGATGTGCGTGAAAACCTAAGAAACAAATAATATTTATATTAATTTAAATTGTGTCAAATCGTTATTAAAGTTTATTTATTTACTAATTTAGTACACACACAATAAAACAGATAAGAACAGGAACAAGAAATTTTTACAAGGGCACTGCTTATTTCATATTGAGATTTCTTCCAGCGGGCTTCAAATAAAAGTTATTTAATTTGAATTAAAATGACTTAATGAGGATACTTTACATTTTAATAACTTCTAAATATATAATAATAATGGATATTTGAAGAAATTCTTTAGGGTTCTGTAGTCAGTCCTGACAAAGAACCCTTATAGTTTCGTCATGTCCGTCTATCCCCAGTTTTGCTTGGAGACTATTAGCACTATAGAGCTATAATTTTGTGGAGATATGTATATTGATCGAGTTTTTTTTTTCATGTTGATTATTTTTTTCATCATCTACCTCATTTCCTCCTGTAAAATAACTTAGGGTTTCTTAAGATTATTTTTCGATTTAGAGATCCGTTTGCGAAATATTGAACCTTAAAGTGCTAATTTTTGTTCGAATAGCCCCCCCCTCTAATTGCTAAACTATTGGCTTGAAAAACCTCGAAAAATTCATGATAATAGTGCTTTTCATGACTTTTAAGAAAAACTATAACGGTTGTGATAGATTTTATAGTTTAGGAGTAATAGTCGTTCAACTTTACTTAAAAAAAAAATCTTACGTATTGAAAATTCCCGTAAAACCTTGCATTGTAACAAAATCTAAAAAACAGTATTTAAAAACCACAACAAAGTATCATTAGTTCCTCAACGCTACCGCAAGTACCAACGGCAACGGCTTCTGAGTAGCGCTAACGTTACGTTTTTATAAAAAGTATAACTTGAAAAGATCGGCGGTTATACCGCATTATCCCCTTCTCTGGGAATGATCGCTTCAGATGAAGCTTGTAAGGTCTTCCTGGCCAAAAGCATGAACTACGAGTATATTAAAACACACGGTGTCAGTAAGATTCTCACATAACCTTGAAGATGGCTGTAGGGTGTCCATGAGGATTTCACACCCACTGCCTCGCCTGGGAGGAAACAAAAAAAATAATAATAAATAATCGGCGGTTATTCGTATTTAAAAAAAATATAATATTGAATTGATTTTGAGTTTGAGACACAGTTTGACTTTTGAATTTAGGTATTTTAGTTAAAATACATAGATTTATATTTATTTATTTAATTTTTGAGAGACCAATAAAAACAGACATAGTTGAAGAAAAAGAATTGTTACAGAATGCCAATTATAGGTCCTCTACAGGCAACCACGGAACCCTACAATGCGCGTGGCAAGACACGCACTTGGCCGGTTTTAATTATAATGTTATAATAGAGCAACTCGGCCATGACGCGGCGAGGATAGGGAGTAGGCATACACTACACATCTTTCCCTTCTGTCGATCTGGGCACACAAAAGATACAAGTGTGCAAGATTTACAGTTTTGTTTTATTACGTTAAACTGCGTTTGTGTGTTTCTTCCCCACAAAAAATGACAGAATGACTTGAATAATATTAGTTGCTATGACTACACCCTTCCGTGTTGCTGTATGAATGTTTTAATGCCATTTCACCGGCTGTCTCATTGCTTTTGTACACCCTGTATTTATCTTTTATTATCATTTGCCGATCGGAATGAGGTCGAGAATTGAGTCTTCGTTGTCATCAATCACGTCTGCCCGGAACCCTTATAAACAGCTGAGATGAAAAATTGCCCATTACTGAAAATATCGAGGCATGATATTTGCAATTTTTGTCTTTTAATAACTCAGAGAAGTTAAACTCTTTGTACTTAATGGGTTTTTGCTTCTCTTAGATGACCATTTAAGATGATAGATTCCTTTCATTAATGAGGTATTGACATGGAGTTGATTTTCGCTGTGGATATCAGCATATTAAATCGCCTCATTGATGAAGCGTTACGAAATCACAAAGGCTTTCATCGTTTTTGAAAATGTTGTGAACTATTGTGTTAAGTGTCACAAATGGCTTTTGGCCATTTTTATGGTAGATAAGAGTCATCAGCTGTACTGCAACATATGGCACCCACTTTACTAACTTTCTGATTTTAGATTTAAGTCACTTCCTTTAAGTTTACTGTCACGGCAAAAGTAAGCATTTTGTGGGATTCTGTTGTAGAATTTCTATATTATGCTACTTTCTATCCATATTGCATTTCAGCGAGTGTCCATGCCACAGTGAAATATGTATTTTTGAATTAAGAATCTTACCCATATACCTGTGTTAATTCTGTCTTAATATGAACTAGAATCTTTTTTCTTTCAGGGTGTGAATGTAGACAAGCGGACCCTCGCAAGTGCGGAGAGGAAACAGAGGACCTTCACGGACAGGTCTCAGCTGAAGTACGCCAGGAGACTTGTGGTGAAGCTCGGCAGCGCTGTTATCACCAGGGAAGACGGTATTGGCCTGGCTTTAGGGCGGCTGGCGTCTATTGTGGAGCAGGTAGGTTTACTAATAATAAAGTTGATCAAGTATTGTAATATTACCTTTTTTGGAGTAGCCTCGCCGACTATGTTTAGCTGAACTCCAAGAGGCTGGTGGTGAAGATCAACGGCTCCTTCATTATCAGGAAAAGCAGAATAATCCTGGCATTAGGAGACCGGCGTTTGTTACAAACCACGTAGTATTTTATCAACGGGAAATAGGAGTTGAAACCGGCCAAGTGAGTCTGAACCTCGTATCGTAAAAATGACGTCTCTAGTATTATAATTATGAATTCAGGTAAAAATGTAATATGCAGATTCTGTGAAAGATTAGACTTTATAGCTATTGCGGTCATATTAAATAAATAGGTCGCTGACAATTGGAAAGATGCACCAACGAGCAGCGAAGGCATAATTACGCAATGAATAATATTTTTGACTGTTATTAGATAGAATTTGTTAGACTCGTGCCCTAGTAGTGGGGAGGACAATAGGATGATCTTTGATGCTATTGATGAAGATCTAATTTATATGAATTTGAACGGACAATGTATCAAAATTTCACAATTGATTTCGTTCTTTGAACATACTATAGCTAATGTTTACAAATGTATTAATTTTGAAAGTGTTGTATAGCCAAACCCCCGTGTTCTTTAGGTTGAAGTTTGATGAATCTATTTAAACGATTAGTTTAACAAGAAACTGTCCAAAAATGTTCCATTATCTTCATTCAAGGAACTCGACGCGGGTCGCTTCATTTCAGAATCCACCCAATTTAGACCGCCAGACGCCATTAAAATAAATTACACTTCCATCGAATCACATTTTCATTAGCTCTTTGAAATATTGAATCGGAATTTAAAAGAGATCCTTCTTTTATTGTAAGAAGGTATTGAAAGAAATTATTCTCATTCAATACCTTTTATATGAAATAATTGCCATGTTAGATGAGATTTTCAATCAAGTATTGAATGGTAAGGTAAGTATATGCATAGAGTGGTCATGATTTCAGAAGAATATGAGTATTTATCGATTGTGCTATCTTAGTCAGTGGCTTTCATCTGGTAAATTACTATTAATTTATAAACTCAGCAGAATTTCACCCAACAATGGTGACATCTTCATCAAAATTCCTTGCGCATGTACTAAATAACAGACAGAAGAGGTGACTTCGCTTTATATTATTTACCAATCACGCTGGAAATTCTAAGCACAATGAAGACATTATTTAACAACCAGGAAGCAATAAAACGGCCTCCCAGCTCTGTTAATATTTCTAAAGACTGTTTCATACTTGAGATTATAAGACAAAATGTTAGTAGCATAAAAGTTATCACGTTGCTTGGGTACAACAGATTTTTTTGTTTTTCCATTTTGTTATATTGTATAAATAATAGCATAACTCACCCATAAAACACTCAAATCGGATGTTTGTTAAGTAATAATGATGTTTGAAACACAAATTTAATATAAATATAATATAAAACATCTCTGGCATTAAAGTGATTGTCCACAGCAAAGGAAAAGAAGTATCAACTCAATCATTTGGCATATACAATTAGTTTCTTTGCACGACTAACAATAAAAATGAAACGAATGAGAATGTTATTAATCAAAGTGAAACTTTTACATTCATAAGAACGCAGCGTTTAATTTCTACGCAATGATAATGACGCGAATCGAGGAAATTAAATTTGAAGTTAGAATAAACTTTTTACATTCGTTCCCGAGCATAAACCATTCATGAAGGATTCACAAGTCTAATAGAATATAATGCCACAGTGATATTATTATCTCACTGTGGAGAGGCAGATTCTATTTAACATTCTCGTTTACGTAAAGGGAAAGGCCCATTTTATTGTTTCCCGTTCGTGGGACTCACATAATTGTTTTGTAGAACTTTTTCCGCTTATGGATTTTGGGCTTGTGTGTTTAGGATTATAAAATAAAATTTAATAATTTAACATTTTCTGATTTCATCAATCTAAGTCTTTACATTGAACTAAGATCTTCGTTGGTTTAATAAAACCTTGTTAATTGTAATGCCATTATCTTCTTCGACCAACCTTGGGAATCCGCTAGTGTGATGCAGTATAAAAAGTACAATGGAATTCCAAGTTCAGATAAGTATTACAATTGATTTTCCGTTCAAATTGAAATCTTGTAAAGGTTAAAGAAAAGGAATTAGCTTAGGAAAAGTGCGACAAAAATTGTGTTACAATAGCTGGGTTAGTTGCTTTCCCGATTACGAATTATTTCTGTTCGTCCCCCTTGTTTACAAAAAGTCTTTTGTATTTATTATGTTTAATCTAATCTTAATCAACCGGTTAGTATTGTCGTTCCGTGGTTCATTCACACCAGTCCCCGTAGCATGAGCATCACAATTTACATTTTATCACGTTGTTTAACGCGTCTAACTGTCAAACTCCATAGTAATCTGACATTTGAGCGTGATGAAAACGCGATATAATATATCATATTGCGGTGCTCATAACAGAGGGGCTAGACATATCGTTGCCTGGACATAATAATAAACAGTAATCTGTGCTACTATTAATAATTTATTCTTTCGTTAATAACCAAAAATCCTAAAAGTATAAATTAATTAGAATTGTAAAAACTTTCTATAACGATTGTTGTAAGAAAGTTTTTACACATACCCCGTAAATAGAGTTCAGACTGGATACATGAATTTATAATATTGAATATTGTAAATAATTCAAAGTATTGACTATCAATAAAAATGTAAAGCTTAATATGCTGAAAAAAGTCACCATTGTATACACAGCCGAATTAGCGTTTCGTGGAAATAACTTCATGAAAATTTGGTCCTCTGCACAATATGCTGACTGACGCTGATTTATATTACCTACAGGAGTGTTTACCAGCTGACTCATTTCTTGTTTTATTGCCTGAAAAAGATCTAAGAGGACTTTGTTACAACTTTATTACCACTAAAAACATATGAAACGTGAAACCGATATTAAAAGTGGAGCTATATTAAATGTGTGCGTTGCGTTCTTTTATATTATATTAACGTTTGTTACAGATTTTCCTTCTTTGTACTTAAATCTAATTGAGTTTCATATAAAAGATCTTCAGTATCATAAAATAGGTTACTTAAATTCCCTCCTAGCTTAATATAAGTCTACGTTTTATCTTTTTTTATTTTATGTAATTTTACCACTGGAGCTATTCCAATTTATTCATATAATATCTGAGCCGAGTTCCCTTTATCTAACATAATCTTGTTTAAGCGTATATTTGTAAAGCTTTTTAATTTAATATTATTTGACCGAATGTTTATATGTCCGAATTCACAATGGCATCCTTTTTAGAAAGCAGAATGTTTTTATTAGGCATAATTACTTATGGCTACATTTAATTCTGCATAATATCGTTAATCAGAATCGGTGTTTGTGGTCAGTCGGGTTGGGTTAGAAGGTTAAAAAAGATTTCTACATGGTTTTGATCGGTAATCCCGCGACCTCGGAGATACTGACAACGCTGAGTCCAGCGTGTTCGTATCTTGGCTGCAGACTTCTTATTAAACATCCCCATAAGTGACAGAAAAAGAAACGCGTGTAACGCATAGTGCTAGAACGCCAAGTGTCCAGATGGTGGGAGTGAATTTTTTATCTGCGGTGTGTGGTGCAGTTAAGGAACTTGGCCGCTGGCATTGAATAATTGAAGATTGAATAATTCATCTATAAGTGATAGCAATCAAGAATATCCTACTTTTTATGGTTACTTAAGGACATCATTAATGTGTTTTTCTTTTATAACAGGTAGCAGAGTGCCACCATGAAGGTCGTGAATGTATCATGGTGACGAGTGGGGCGGTAGCTTTCGGGAGACAGAAGTTGACACAAGAGCTGCTGATGTCTCTTTCTATGCGGGAGACGCTATCTCCCAGCGACCACACGAGAGAGGTAGGTTACTGAACTGGTTTTTATCAAAAATGTTTATTTCATTGATAATAATTTAAATTGATGATTGAGTCTCAGATCTGTTTTAAATGCATTATAAATTTTGGCGTAATTATCTGATATGATGGGCTACCTTTAGAGCGTTATCTTAAATTCAACATTTAATGAATCGTGGACTTCTTTGTGTCCTTTCCTACTCTAAGGCGTTAGAAACTTTGTAAGTTAAAGAAGAAAATTTTAGATTATGGCTAAGTATATAGAAATTGATTTTTTATAATTTGATAGCACAGAGAAGGAGATTGGACGAAGAAAGAAGGATAATTATTACATTTCATAGATAGGTTAAACGATATATTATTATACTGGTAATAGCCACTATGGTAATACTTAACATGTAAGACCTTATTAATCACACGAAACGCAATAAACATTTCTGATTCTGATTATATTCTGACATCATAAAATGTAGGGATTTGAAGTAAATCAAAATTGATCACTAGATCAAATAATATAATATGTAAAGAAAATTTTCATTGATTGTAACTGCATCCCGTCTAGGTATTAGACGGGATGCTTGGACCGTGTGGATTTTTTGTCTAGTATTTTTTTTATTAGTAAACCTAGCTGTTAAATGCTTAAAATATAAAAATAAACGGAATGAATTATTCTTAACCATACATAATTATACTTCACGAAAGAATTCTTCCTATGACATGGATACCATAATTTTTTATTCGGTTGTAGGATGCTGGCAGTATCTTAGACCCCCGTGCAGCTGCTGCGGTGGGACAGTCGGAGCTGATGTCCATGTACGACGCGATGTTCTCCCAGTACAACGTTAAGATCGCTCAGGTAAAAAACACATAGACACCTGCAACATAATGTATATCAGATGAACGTGACAGAGGAAAAAGAACTTCCAAAGGACATGGCTCAGAAACTGCCCTTAACATGTCCTTAAAATAGCCCGTAACATTAAAATATTTGTTTATTAATTACTACGGGTTTATTATTCTTATAGAACTTTCGTGAAATAATCAAATATTAACTTCATGTATGTTTTACAAAAATATACCTATAAACAAGAAATCTACACAAAAAATTATTTGTTTAACTATATCGAAATAAACAATATTAATTCCAAACTCTTAAAATCTTTGAAAAACTTGGCCCTATTTTTTATTATAACAGGTCAAGTGTTCTTTTTGTGAAGTGTTAATCGGAGAAAAGGGAGGAACATTTTCTAAGAAAATTCGGAATTCATGACTCAGTAAATCTCCTAAATTGGCAATATATTTTATCAAATGTAGTGGTAGCCTAGTAGGAGTCTTCAAAATTTTCAGGATTGTAAATTCCTCAAAAGTTTTGGAGCTTTAAAAAAATTGTAAGTCAATAAATAATTATGTTCAATAAAAGAGTCTGAAGAAATAAAGTCGTTAAGTATGTCTCTTCTTATAAAGAAGAGTTCCGGGATAGATAGGATATATGCTATATATCGAGAATTTTTCGCTTAGTAAGGATATTATTGTATGCGACAATCGTGTAAGCATGACGTGTTCATGCAGTCAATAATGTTTCTTGAAAAAGGATTCAGAACAACAAGATATCACTACGTAAATACTCTAACATCAGGTACGTGGCAGTCCTTTGCCAGATCATAAAAAAATGGTTTGAATTTAGTACGTTTTCTATAAAGCAGATCCTATTATTACTTCTTTCTGTATATATTTCGCGCATCTTACAGGACTTGCCAGAATACAAGCGTTGTTGTCACACTCCTAGCTTGTGCTGGAGCCGGGTCCCGATTGACTACTTTAATTTTGTTTTGCTTTTATAATTATTGTAATTTGTTTTTCCTTCTTGTAATACGTCTGTGTTAAATAGTCAATAAAATATTCGTCTCTCTCTATTCGTTCACCAATATGCTGAAGGTACTGATGAATGCTTCCATACGCAATAAACGGTGCCGTGCAACGAGTCACTTTAATTATCATAATCAGCCTATTAATGACCAATGCTTTTATGCGGGTAGACCTTTTAACATAAAAAACAGTATCACAGACAGTGCAAATGCATATGTATTGTTTGGTGCCAAAGTTCGGTGTGTACGGCTTTTCAGGGTACCACTGGGTGGGGGATTGGGTTAAGGAAAGCAACGGTGCAATTGATATTTTTGGTACCGTAAGCGTCGATATGCTGTGGTGGCCACTTACCATCGTGCGGACCATCATACGCTTGTTTGCCACATTTTTAACATTAGATAAAACCATGATCGATGTAGTGGCGTAAAAAGAATTGTACTTACCGTGACTATATTTTTCTTTCTTTGGTGTCGTAGAAGGCGCCAATAATGGAATCAGGTGTATAATTCGCTCTGACGATACAATATCTCAAAAAAAAAAACTAATTGTTGAAGCTGCTAAATGTTCACAATGAATTTTGGATGTTTTCATAGAACAAAAATTTATCTCCAATCATTATTTCAGGATTTTAATTGAGTAGGGATCATTTGCGAGGGTTCGCATTTAATCCGCAATAGTAAGCTAGTAGAGTTAGTACACGTGCCCGATAATTAACAATTAACTAGTCAAGTATAGATATTTCCCAGAATCACCAAAATTACATTAATTTGATTAGATTTCCCGCAAGTGCCTGTTTCATTATTAGGTAGGTATCTACTTGAGTTCGTTTTCGATTTGCATGTTGCGGTATATAATATGCCTATGATTAGGGAAAGCTGTTATAGATTTTATTTAGAACTAAATAGTTGGTGGGTACTAATTTTAATCGAGTTGCCTGTTAAGCAGATGGCCTTGGATAAGCTTTAAGACTAAACGTTTTAATAATGAACAAAGAAATCAGTTTTGTTTTTCTTTGTCAGTTTCTAGGACCTGTGTGAAATCGTGTTTGCAGTTTTTCCCGGTTTTAGTTTTTTATTACTTTAACTCTTTCCATCATCACAGCTAAAGAAATATCTATGCTCCATTACTTATCTCTTTTTCACCACTATGAAGCGTTAAATTGAAGTAAATAATAGTATTATACAAATCCATAACATCCTCCAATTTCATCAGAAATTTGGTTTTAAACAGGCTACATACACAATCACCATGCTTGATAATTGATGTTATTTAAAGTATTTGATTTTTTTATTATGAACAGTTTAAATACGATTTACTTTTTCTGATGATATAATGTCATGTTGTTTGTAAATGTTGATATTTATGGGAGCCCTCATTAGCTTTCATTTAAATGCGGCGACTGGGCAAAAGTTAAAGGACCAAGTTGTACACAGACGCAAGTAATGCAAACACTTTGCATAATTTTATTCGCCGCTGCACAAAGTTTTCTTCCCTTGGGAATATGTAGATAAAAATTAAATTTATGACCTTACTTCTTTTCCCGTATACGTCACGTCGCGTCTTGGAATATGCTTGGAGCGATTCCTGGGGGTTTAAGCCAAATGGTTTTAAACATATTTCTATTCTTAAATAAAAGGTGCCCTATTCTGTCTACCTTTTTTTTGACGATGGAAAATCCATTTACCGACCATACCGCGCGTTGGCTAGGCGCGCGACGTGTGTGGGACTCCCCGACACGGAACAGCGCCGGTCCTACTCACTAAAAAGCACCGGTACCCTCCCCCGCCCTTGTGGGAGCGTCTCAGGATCGGCGCACCTCTTTGTGCGCCACTTCACTAAGTTTGCTATAGTTATATTGGAGTAGGGCCTGTAATTTGAATTTATCGTACAACCGTTTTTTAATTACTAAAAGTAATTAAACAAAAACGGACATGTGCTGTTCACATCCGATAGAAGTGAAACCTACAAAAATATGAACACGTAAAAGACTTCAGCCGCCGCCGGCTTTATTTGTTACCAGCTATTTTTATTTTATTTCTTTTGCTATCTTTTTTTTAACTTATTTTTTTTTCAAAATATTTATTAATAAAGAAAATTGCTGTAAAAATTGCTAACATTGGAAAGGTAAGGATTGTTGATAGAAACCAAGCCTGTATTAATTAACAACTTAGGCTTCTACCAAACGTTTAATACCTAAATACTCAAGTATTGTAAAATACTAGGCAAAATTAATATTATATACATAAATTGTTTCGAAAAATAAATAATAGCTTAATAAAAGAAAAAAAACGATTAAAACAATAAAAAAAACTGAGCTGGGTTCGAACCAGCGATCATTTGGTGTCGACCCCAAGACCGTTACCGTTCAGCTATCTATCTCTTGCAGAGAGTTACAAAATTACGGATACCTTGTGTGAAATACTGTTAAATTTTCGTTTCATCGAGTTTCAAATCATAATGGTGCTAAAGAAGAAGTTTTCACTACAAAAATGTGTTCATTCAAAAAGTATCACCGATACGTTTGATACGTCCGACCGATGTCACAAAAGCATTGAAAAAGTTACTCCTGAGTTGTGAATTTTCAACTGTTCATTTCCTGCTCAAAGGGAAAAAGGGCGTGGCCCTCATACAAACTTAGCAGAAATTTGGAGGACTGTTGACTCGATACACTCTCTAAACTCCCTTATAGGGCACTTTGAAGCGATAAAGAATTCTCGTATTTTGTCTTACGTCTTGTTCTTTTGTGGTCCTTTTAAAAATCTCAGTTTGCCAGAATTCCACAGGGCAGGGCGATAGGCTCATATAACTCGAATTATCGTACAAACATTACTGCAAGGTAATCAAAAAAATATTCAAAATATTCAACATGGCATTCAAGAAGATCAATCACCGTAATTATGGATACGACGCCAGCACAAAAAAAAAACAGATATAAAGTTACTCGCGAATTGTGAAGTTTTCAACCGGTCATTTCCCTCGAAAACGTCTCGAGGGTGTTTTGTCTGCGTGGTCCAACAATCTCAAAAACAAAATATTCTATTTAATATTCGAAAATAATAATAATCTTTACCTATCGATACGACTGACAGACTCCTTTACAAAAATAAGCAAAATAATATTTCTCACCATTTGTAAAGCTTTCGGCCTTTCATTCCTCGCACAAAGAAAAACGTCTCGAGGTTGTTATGTCCGCGTAGGCCTCAAAAAAAATCTCAGCAGTAATTTGGAGGGCTGTTGTCTCAATACACTCCCCTATAGGGCAACTTGATAGCGATAAAGAATTCTCGTATTTTTATCTAACGGATTGTTTTCAAGAATTTTTAATATATTTGTATGAGAAATTAATCACCTAGAGCATAAAGATCATATTTATTTAATAGTAAAAAAAGTTTGGTCCGAAATAACGGATATTATATTTAAAAAAACGACGGGTTGCACTCCGGGAGTGCCGGCAGAAGTGAAAACTTGAATATTAACGTTGTGCATTTTTGATATTTTGGAATGGTTAGGGAATAATTTTGCACGAATTGCTTTAATTATCAGTATAAAAGTACTATCATGTATGTGGTGGAATACAATATTTATTTATTGCGCTATCGTACACAAACATGACAATTTATATTACATTAAAAAGTTTATCTCACAGAAAAATCAACTTACATGAATCACGTTTAACCGCACTTAGCGACATCTATTGTAAAGAAATCAATTTACATGAATCACGTTTAAGCGCACTTAGCGACATCTATTGTAAAGAAATCAACTTACATGAATCACATTTAAGCGCACCTAACGACATCTATTGTAAAAAAATGCATTTTCTTCGCAATAAAGCTGCCACGTGGACGTTCTAGATAAAGACTTATTATTATAATACACCAAAATAAAATATTACTATGATTCGTCCAAGATATTGAAAGTTTAGCTGAAAGGAGCTCGATGGCGCAAGTGGTTAGCGCGTTCCGCAGCGATCGTTGAATTTAAGCAACT